AAGTGCAGAATTTCCACTTTCTAAGGCTTTTTTATTTTTTAATGGCAAAGGTGTTTTGCATGTGAATTAAGGCTTTTTGTAGTATTTGAAAAGATTTTCACAAGAACTTTTGCTTAGATCAGTGTTATTTCATGTGTGATTCACAGACTGGCACCATCAGCATTATTTCACCTCAGATCTACAAAATCAAATGCTCAGTGGGCTACTCTCAGGATTCTGTCTTGACAAGCTCTCTAGATTAATTTCATGTTACAGCTCAAAGTCGTGGGCCAACAGATGGGCGAGTCCTGTGTCATATCCTTACTGGGGTTCTTATTTCTTACAAATAATTCCCTCTCACAAACTCGTAGTAACATATCTAATTAAGTAAATCACAATGTTAAAAACCACTCACCTAGTCAGATGCTCCCTAATGTCCTTTTAATAAACCACTTCCTCTTACTGCTGTTGCACAACAAGCAGGAAAAAAAAATCACTAATTTATCCCATCAGCCTTTATGCAAAAGCAAATTTTTTTCTCAGCTGAGATTCCATCTCAGTCCTCTATTCCTTAAGTTACCAAGGTGTCTGACACACCTTGAATGCTGTTCACATTTATCATCAGGTGCTAATTCTTACATTTCCAGATATCTCTGAAACTGTAGAATGAAGTTCATAACTGTATAACAAACTTTAACTGTGCTGTCCAATGCGATAATCAGAAGACATGTGTGACTGCTGTGCAACTCAAATGTGTCTAGTGTAAATGGGATACATCACATGCATACAGTACATACAGGATTTTAAAGAGTTAAGATTGAAAAGGTTGTATAACACCTCTATTTTTTATGACTACATGTTGCAATATTTTGAATATTTTGTGCTAGCTATTTAGGGAGCGTATTAAAAATTAATTTCTCATTTGTTTCCTTTTTACATGGCTGATACATTTTTTAAATATGTATTTGAAAGGAAGTGCGACAGGGAATCAAAAAAGGTAAGGGAGAGGGAAAGGGAGGAGGATTAAGAAAGGGTTACAGAGACAGAAGGGGGGGGAAGGAAGAGAGAGAGAGAGAGAGAGAGAGAGAGAGAGAGAGGATGAATCTTCTGGTTCACTCCCTAAACGGCTGCAACAGCTGGGACTGGGGCAGGTTGGAGCCAGGAGCCGGACTTTGCATCTAGGTCTCCCACAGGGGTGCAGAGGCCCATGAACTGTGGGAGCGGGGCAGTCGGGACTGTATCTGGGCCGCTGAATAACAGCTGCCAGTGTGGGAGCTGTGGGCGGCCCAACGGACTCCACAACACACCTCTATAATACGTCTTTACATCCTAGTCAAAAATCTATGCCGACATAGCTATTGCCTGTTGAGTTGGCAGATATTACGCCAAGCTCGGCTACTCAGTCACGGGTGGACCCCAACCAGGAAGCCTGAACTTTCGTCTACCCCCTCCCCAACAAGCCCTTTTCTTCCCACTCACCTCCCTAGAGCCTGACACGCTGGTATAATAGATTTTAATGGAACTCATTATTTCGACTCTGGGTCTATTTTGCCAGAAGTAACACAAGGTCAACTACTTCACCGTTGCCTGAGGCGCAGACCAGCTTCTCGAAATCCCCACCCCGACTGGGTCTTTCTCTCTGGGCGTTGCTAAGGACTAGGAGACCCTGCGCTCGGGATTGGCTGGCAAACAAGGCATCCATTCTGGAGAACGTTGCACCTAGCGACCACAAGGCGGAAGCCCCCACCGGCCTGGGGGCGGGGCTGGACCCCCATGGGGCGCTAAACTGGGGCTTGGATCTTCTCTAGTCCCCTCGGGGTGAGGCCCAGGCGAGGGGAAGCGGAAAGAACAGCAACAGAACCGCTGCCCCTTCCCTGGCTCCCCGGCTGAGAGCGGAGGCGAGCCTGAGCTTTCCAGCTGGCAACAGCGGCCGCGTGTGCAAGGCCCCAGGCACCTGAAGTAGAAAATTCGCCAAACACAATGTGATGAGTGAAGAAAAGAAATACATAAATAAACCTGTGCTGTCTCGTTTCCTAGGGACAACGCAAATGGCACAGGTCGAGATGTGACCAGCATTATTACATTTCTTATTTCTTCGCGTAGAAAAGTATTACATGGAAATTTTGTCTATGCTTCCCAGTCTACCTTAGCAGCTTATATCTGAGGTCAAAATTATTCTAAAAGATTGGGAAAACATTTATGAGGTCAGACAAACATTCTGAAGAACATAGTAAAATATGCTGTTAAGCTTTTGCGGGTGTGAATTATCTATTGTTTTAAGCATCAAATAATATACAAATATATGGTCATTGCAAAAATTTTTCAACCGTATCTAAATATATGGGCCCAAAAGTAAAATCATTCCTTCCTAGCTGTTCTCGAGGACTGTTTTGCATGCCTCCTTTTCCTATAGCACTCAAACTTCTGGTTTGTGTAATAGTGGGTACAACAGTCCCCACCTCTCCTAGCACTTCCTGTCCCTTCCCCCTATGGGAAAAGATGACCTCTTGCTAAAGTGCCTACTTCCTCTTAACTATACTTGAAGCCCATTTTTTTTTCCCCCAGCCGTTTACTTAAAGAAAAAAAAAATCCCTTTTTATTTGAAAGGCAAAGTGAAGGAGAAAGGAGAAACCGTGGATGACGTCTTCTGCTGCTGTTTCCCGCCAGGGCTGGGATGCTGATGGTTGCAACGGATGAACAGACGGAGCAGCAACTCTGGCTTGCCAGTTTTCATTTTCCAGTTGAACCTTTTTCAGAATGGAAGGCAAGGGTAGCTTTTACAGAAGTTGGGAGGTTTGCTGAAAGTGGGGAGAGGGATTTGGGAGTGAAGTACCCAAGAGCCTGGACTCCAGCTTTTAAGAAAAGCAAATAGGTATTCTTTTTGAATTCGGCTTCTTACTAATTATGGCTCTTAGGCCAATTAATTCCAAAGGATGATTTCTCTATAGTCAAAGTGAGAATGACGCTACCGACCCATCAACATCATTGTGAAGATTATAAAATACTCCAGTAGGTGTTTGGCATACACTCAGGCACATTGCGAGTAGTTCATAAAATGATATAACTGCCAGACTCAGCGCCAACTGCTTGAGAACCCACCAGTGGAGAAAACAGAGTTTACCTTCAGGTAACTCACAGGGTACTAACCAAGAGGAGATTAATGTATCCTAGAGAAACTTACAGCACAGTAAGTGGGTTGAGGCAGGCATCCCTGAAGAACTGGGAGCTAAATTGAAACCTGGAAATTTATGGCCTGCCAGGAAATTATGTGTATGAAAGAACTGTAGGCGGAAGGAACAGGAATGAAGCGGCATGATAATTGGAGCTTTGGGAACAGGCGGTAGAAGATGGAGCCCGAGAAATTAAACCGGGGATGTCACAGTAGCTTTCAGGTTTCAGGTTGAATTTTAGTTTTTAATCTTTTTGATGCTGTTATCTGTTTTGGACAATCGAGGCCCATCACAATTTGCAGATTTACTGTGAAGATGAAACACAGAAGCTGCTTTTGCGCTAGAGGCATTCAATAACATCTGTTATTGCGAATCCAAGGGTCATCTGTTGCCTTTGATGCTTTTAGCAGCTTTGTGTAAAAAGTGGACCAATTTTTAGCGTGGCACATGAATTGGAACACGGCACAAATGGAAGCAGCTACAGTAATACTGGAATGAAAGATCGTGCCAGTGGTGAAAGGCAGAGTTTTAGGACAGGGCTGTGTGCGAGAGAAGGGTGAGGAAGGCAAAAGCTATGGCATATAAGCAATGAAGGAGTGTAGGCTAGGTGGCATTTGTGATTTTCCTTTTATTTTAAGATCCTGCTGTGGTAGTACTGGTAGAAAAATCTTTTTTAAGTAGTATCATTGTTTTTCTGGTATGGAATTCTGACGTGTCTCTGCATTTTTCTGTAAGTCATTGCTCTTGATCCTTTGGCACACTACACCTTCCAGAAAGCTTCCTTGGACAGTCTAAGGCAATTTTCTTAATGTGACATACACAATTAGAATTAACCTATTATACATTTGTGATAATTGTTTAAAATTGTAAAACAATGTACCGCACAGTCTGTACTGAGACTTTTAGCCAAAAGTGTTAAGTGGAAATTTTGTGTATGCTTCCCAGCCTACCTTATCAGCTTTTGAGTTCAAAATTATTCTAAAAAATTGGGAAAACATTTGTGAGGTTAGAAAAACATTTTAAAGAAGATAGTGAAGTTCGTCCTTGTGCTTTTATGGGTGTGATTATCTATTGTTTTAATCATGAATATATGAGCATTCTAAAAAAATTCAAACTGTTCCTAAATATATGGGGCCAAAAGTACTATTAACATTTTGATTTGTATCTTGCACCTTCAGTAAGTTATATATGTTAAACCAATAAAAAGGAAGAAAAAAGTTTCGCAAGGAAGTTTGGCACACAGGCTGTGAAGTCGCTGTCTGAGTTTAGCCCCAGACTACCACTGACTGTGCGATATTAAGCATGTTCTCTTTTTCTGTGCCTCAGTTTTCTGAAAGGTAAAATAGAGTTAATGAAAATCTGTTTCTTAATGATTTTCATGAAAATTAATTAGCATGTGTGATGTATAGTGCCTGGTACATAGCACACCAAATGCAATTCATAATGGAATCATACTGCATACATTGTTCTGCAACTTGCTCTCTATAGAGCTAGAGTAAATACAGCGTAGTTGATAAGGAGCTTTTTTTTCATGAATCCAATTTCTGGCATAAATCTTAGTACCATTGTCTGGTATAAATCTTAGTACCATTGTCTGCTGGCTTTAGGAGCTTCATCAAATGTGTAACTTTTCTCTTTGTCCTCCCTTTAAAATGATGATAATAGCTTCTAATTTAAGTTGTATATGTATAACATTTAGAACACACCATGCAGTGATCTATAATGATCAATAGTGATCAATAATTGTAGTGATCAATAAATATTATCAGTACATCATTAAAATGTTCATTTTAGTGTTTCACGTTACATGTGTATCATAACTTATTTAGCCATACATTTATTAATGATCATTTATGTAATTTCTAATTATTAATTCTTACAAAATATGCTGGTATCACATTGCTTTTTGTAATTAAAAATGAAAAACACGTCTGTACCTTGATTTGCATGAAGGAAGCTATTGCTGTCAACATTTTCCCACTATCATTGTTATTTTCAATCTGAATAAACACTTTCAAGATCCTCTTTTGGTATGTGATCATTACCATACATGTGACCAACCCACATGATTTTGCTACTAGTTTGGTTCAGTCCTATGGTAGGAATAGAAAGCAGAACCATTTTGCGTGATTAAAGTCATCTTAGTGACATGTAAGCCAAACCGGAGACTCAAACGAATCAAAAGGGACTTTTCCTGAGTTTGGACTATTAGAATCTCAGAAATCTCAACCTATAGATTCGAAAGGGTAAGTCTAAATTCTTAAATATTTTGGTTCATGTTCTTTTCTTTTCATAAGTCTTTAAATAGGAACAAAACTAAATTTCCTGGAGACATTTAGTGCAGAAAATATGGATCTATAAGAGGAAAACTGTGCCTTGCATCAAGCCTTTTTTTTTTTTCCTTTTATACCCTTATGGAGTTTACAGAGAACACTGAAATATTAAAACTTTAATAAAGAACAGACAAAAAAACAGGATTAATTACTTAGGGATATAATAATTGGGTCTCAAAGAAAAGAGCGAGAGAGACAGGGAATGAGAGCAAGAGAGAGAGAAAAGTGCTAGTGAATTTTTTGACAAACTTATTTTTGTTTAAGTTATTGAAAATATAAATGGCTGTACTTATAGGTAAAATGAGGAAGTTTTCAGGAGCACTGTGTAAAACTATACCTATCTTAGGTATATTCTAGGGTAGTTATATTTTTTATATGTGACTCAAATGGTAAAAGCACAGTTAAAACTAATTCCTTGAAAACAGATTTCATTTTAAAAGAGTCCTTGGAATATAGGTTTACACTTTAATCATATCTAAAGAAATTCTTAGACAGTGGAATATGATAATTATACATGTTCCTTCGAACTTTTAAAAACACTTATATTGGTACCATATACATAATAAATAAAGCCTTGTGAAGAAGGTAGGTGAAGTACTATCATTTCATTGATGAGAAAATTGATATCTGGAAATAAATAAATTACCTGTGATTAAAGAGTTAATTGTAGAAATGTAACCCAACTCTCCTTATTCCTGTTGTTATTCTCTGCCTCTCTAAGTCACATTTGTTTCTAGTATTTAAATCTTTATTTGACATTTTCATGTGCATTTCATTAACGAGTTATTTTGTGCTACAGAACATACTGCACTTTTCTTTTTAGAAAACTTAATTTAGAAAGATGCTTGGAGAAGCCTTTCTAATTGAACTCCTGTATAAAGAACAGAAATATGCAAACTGTTGCACACCACTTATGTGTAGGAAGACCTCAAATGATGAAAAGGAAACTCGCAAAAGTAAACTTCCGGCTGTAGAAGACAATTTACTTTCCCCCGTGAAGATGGAAAATCAAGAAAAGACTGTGAAAGGATGCTTAATAGAACAAAATAATGATATAAATCAAATAAAACCTGTGGATGAGATAACTACGACAGCGTGCAAAGGCACATCTCTTCCAGGAAATGTGACCATTGCATTACCCATCCCAAAGAGAGAACAGCATGATGATAGACAATTGGATTTGTATCGATCTTGGTCATGTACAAGTATTTGCCAGAATTACCCTGACCTACAGATTGGAGGTGATCGTGTGGGCAACATGTATGATTCAGGCTGCTTTGTGGAACACACACATGAAGATGTTTTTAATGGTCCCCTTTTACTTTCAGTGGATATAGCACTGGGTCATTCGCCTGTCATTGAGCCTCCAGAGAAACTGCCTGCCTCAAAGTTTTTGAACGGGGATGAAATACGTGAAAAAAGTATCTTGTTTCATAAGCAGCCTCTCTCTAATTCCATGCTTAACAGTTATATGGAAAAAAAAGTGGAAGAACTCTACAAACAATTTTTGGAAGAAAATCTCACCAGGTGCCGCTCTATAACCAATCTTATGGCTTCCAATTTGCTAATGAATAATGTAAATCAGATTAGCCTTCAGATCTCTCAAGAGCAGAACATAGAGGCATCAAAAGCTCGGGACGCTCTTCTGCATTCTCTAGTACTGTATAATCGCCGAAATGTTTCCCACAGAAACAGTTCTGAATTCAGCACACCTAACTTACAAATATCAAATCAGACCAGTAGAGAACTTCTGTAACATCCGCGTTGGTAGGGCTGACTGAAGAAACTGTAGTAGTAATAATCATTATTGCATTTTTTTGAGAACTGGTTTGACTTATGGCATCTAAACTACTGTGGGGGACAGCTAAGCTTTATGGTTTCAGTTTTTATTGTCTTGATTGATGTTTGCCACGTTTGAGTATGTATACTCCGTACGTGCTTATCTAGTTGCCACTGGCACCCCAAATTAATGATCTCACTGTCATTTAGTTTGTATACCACAAAATTATTGATCTAAGCTACTGAAAGAATCTTCAGAAGCAGTATCAAAGAGGAGCGTTTCTCTCTCCACAATTGGTTAAAGATATATGCCTACTCTGCAAGTAACCTTGATTACTACATACATACAGAGAGTTTCTTTTTACAATGCAATCAGAACAGCCTAGGAGAAATTGTTGAATATAAGCGAACTTTAAAAAGCTCATGGAACATGGAGTTAAGGGATGCTTACTTTGGTGTGAACATTTTTGAGACACACATTTTTTTTTTTTTTTTTTGAGTAACAAACATTCCCAGGAACTAAAATTACACACACACTTGGGGTGTATTATACAAGGAAATACTTATAGCAAAAATTGGATTAAATGATAATATGAAACAATTATAGTGGGGGAGGCTTAAGGAAAATGCAAAATTTGCCGATGCCATTTGAATTGAAACTTGATGCTTCTGAACTTTTCTGCAAATAGAAGACTTTCTTGTGTTTCTTGCCTGGTTGTCTTGAGAGATGAGAGGAAGATATCCAAGTAAAGTATGTTATCAATTGTGCATAGAGAATCACTACCTAGAAACTTTTTAGCTCACATTTCACACTTAGATTATCCCTAATTGCCATTCTGATTTGGAATAAAAGCAGGATGTGATGGAAACTTTGGAATCTAACTTTAATTAATTATACTAAAGAAAGGGTGGTATGTTAGGCTTGAGAACAAGATTCTGCATTTAACAGCTCACATTTCTTAATGTGAGAATGCATTTTTGCTTCTAAAATAAGATTATATGGGTTTCTGTCATGGAATTATTATTATTTTACTGTATATTAATAACTTTAGATTAGTATTAGTATGTTCCCCTCCAGTTATGTCTTTGTCCTTTGATTAGGTTTTATAGAATCAATCCTCTTTCACCTTGTTAACTTTGATCACATGATGTTTAGATTATTTTCATTCTTTTCAAATATAAATTGATTAAGCTTTGTCCTCTGTTTGGTCTTGTTTATAGAATAAGTCACAGTATTTAGTTATCATCAAATATAGAAATGTATCTAATTATGCTCTCAAATTTAAAATTTGTCCCTATTGTCTAGTCTTCCTCCTGCTTATTATCTAAATGCTTATTATTTAAAAATACTTATTGTTAAGATGTTCTCAAATTTAATGTAACGATTAAAAAGGAAATATGGTATATTTAATGTCATGTTCATAATAACCTCATGCTTGGCTATTTCTCAGTTTAGATTTAATTGGTCATTCTTCATTCCATTTGTCATCATGGGTATCCTTTATGTGATCACACTGTACTCTCTCAAAAATCAGTTTTGTCAATGTATGGAACAATGGACTTTTTCTCAGTTTTGTAATAATCTATAGCATTTGTTCTGTGCTTCTAAGAAAATGGCGAATTTTAGTGATTCAGCTGTTGGAAGAATCATCATGATTCTTGGCAAGGAAGAAGTTGAGGAGGGTAAAAATGATGCTCAATAAAATGCTGCTCCCTGCCTGCTTAGTTCAGTTTAATTTGTATCCCTTTTTTGGATGTCACTATTGTATGATGTAGAGTGATTTGACTCGGCCTAGGATTATATTCTGTCACGAGTGTTCTTGAAACAATGAAGGAAATTCAAGGGGTAGAGTCTATACTGGATTTCTAAAATTTTTAGCCTTGGGCTGACACAAGGGCTGCAGTTCAAAAGAAGGTCATCTCCTGAGATTCTTAAGACTGGTGCTAGCACCGAGAAGATCCTCGCAACATTATAAGTGTATTTTCTGAATCACATTAAAATCAGTTTTGAAACAAGGTCAATAGTTCCTAATTTGGGGTAGGAATAAAATATTAACAGCACTACATGTAGCATTACTAGACAATGTGTGGTTAGATGAATAGTACAGGGGGTGGCTTGATGAGAATTAATGTGTGGAAAAAAAGTGAAATGACTGTAAAGTTAAGTGGTTAATTGCTTTCAGTCAACACAAGGGGAAAATATCCAGGAAGTTCACACAAAAAGTCTTGCATGAAGTTAAAACCAATTTAACATATTATTGACTAGTTACTTGCAGGGAAAACTAGCCAATTAGGTTTGTATGAGTAAATATCCATGGAAAGTGAAATGATGATTTGATAATAAAAGAAATTATGCCACCCTCATGTTTTCATAATGTTAAAATACTGTCTTTTTAAAAAATACCTTGGTTAGGGTAGGTATTTGGTCTGGCACTGTTAACATCAATTAGGACTCCATGTGCTATATTGGAATGCTTGGATTTTATATCCACCTCTCTGATTTTAACTTCCTGCCAAGGTGAAGCCTGGGAAGCAGCAGGAGATGAAGCCGGTGGTTGGGTTTTCCGCTACTGACATCCCAGCTGCTGGATTTGGATCCATCCAGTCTATTTTAAGCATTTAGGGGTGAACCAGTGGCTGGGAACTCCAAGTGGCCTTCCATATTTCTGTCTAATTCATAAATGAATAAATAAATGAAATAAAAGTAGCTAGGCATAATTTGCATCTTCTTGTCCTTAGTTATGTCATTGTGTCCTTTTCTTCAAGCCTCAGTACACATTTCTACAAATTTGTAAATGATTGTTTCATGATCTAATATTTGTTACAGTATTAATGCAAACAACACTTGTCAGAATTTTGTTAAATTGCTTTAACGTAATTATATTTAAATATATCTATAAAAATGAGAACCATGTTAACAGATATTGTCTATAACTTTAAAAATCCCGAATCATTGTTACGGGCAGCTAATGCTTGAGTTGTTCTGCTATTTCTATTTAAAACTGAGAAATGTGTAGCTTACAGAATTGCAATATAGTTCTGTTTTTTACTTCCTCTAATAAATGAAGGCAGTCAAATCATGAGAAACAAATTTTCAAAGACCTTGCTTTTATATGGGAGTGAATGAAGTACATAAGTAGGTGAGATCCTAAAATTTCTTTCTTTCTACTGTTGTAAACTGGACTCATTTCTGTTTAATAGACTCTGAGTAGAATTGAATCTTGACAACAGGACGCTGGACTCTCTGCCATTGTCCATGCCTGCACTGATGAACACATGACTGTGTATGAAGAACTATACTATAGTAATGATATAGGGGAACTCAGTGAGGGGGGTGTGTGTGAATTGGGGAGGGTATAAGGGAAATCCCAGGGCCTATGGAACTGTATCATAAAATAATAATAAGAAGAAGAATAAAAAGAAGTAGAAGTAAAAAATTGGTTTGAGGAAGAGTGCAGGATGCTCCTTGGGGCTTGTTTAGGACTAGTGAAGTGCTGTCCTTTAAGGGTTCAGTTCTACTTTAGGGAAGTCAGATGATAATTGGAGAACATCCTTGTAGTTTTCTCTATAGAAGATCAGGGGTTGAATTGCAAGGATTCTGGGGTCAAGGATCAGCTAGATTATGGACGATTTTGTCTTCCAGAGAAACACACCTTCAAAATATTGTAGGTATTAGGAAAAACTACCTGGCTCTTCATTCATTAAAATACATTTATTTATTGAGTGCTGGTGATTGGGAAATAAAAAAAATGATGGGATTCCTGCTTTTCTCAGTGAAGATGCAAGGGCAATATTTTAAATCATCACAACCTAACTGCAAGTTGCACAAGAGTTAGATTTTGATAGTTTTGTCGGCTTGGCCTATTTAGAATCTAGTTAGAATCCTTTATTCAGAACTACTCTTTAATAGATAAATCACAATGTAGCTAGCGGTTGAAGTATTTCCATGAAAGTTGATGTAAAGTTACCCCTCTTAGCTTTCCAAGTTATTCTGCTATGAGCACTCTGTCAACTCTGGACCTTTCTATCTCTTCATAATACAGCAATAAAGCAGGCAGAACAGAAGTCTAGTACCCACTTCCAAAAATACATGTGAACAATTAAATACTTTTATTTGTATTTGTTTGAATCCATTTCAGTATTAAGAATCCTATTCCAAAAACTTGCCAAGTAACACTACTATACTAGGACTTTTTTAAAAAAAGATTTATTTATGGGCCTGACATGGCCCAATGGCTAAATCCTCACCTTGTAAGGTACTCCCATAGGGGTACCAGTTTGTGTCCTGGCTGCTGCTCTTCTCATCTAGCTCCTTCCTTATGGCCTGGGAAAGCAATAGAGGATGACCCAAGAAGAAACTCAGACCCCGAAGAAACTCCTGCCTTCAGATCAGTTCAGCTCCAGCTATTGTGGCCATCTGGGGAGTGAACCAGTGGATGGAAGATCTTTCTCTGTTTCTATTTCTTTCTGTAACTCTGATATGCCTTTCAAAATAAATCTTTTCATTTACTTATTTGAAATTCAGAGTTCAGAGGAAAGGAGAGAGAGCGAGAGAGAGAGAGAGAGAGAGAGAGAGAGAGAGAGAGAGAGGTCTTCCATGCTGGTTCACTCCCCCAAATGATCACAACAGCTAGGAATGAGCCAAGCTGAAACCAGGAGCTAGAAATTTGGCTCAAGTCTCCCACCTAGGTGACAGGGATCTAAGCACGTGGGCCAGCTTCTACTGCTGTTCCCTGGCTATTAGCAGGGAGTTGGGTGGGAAGCGGGGCTGCTAGAACACGAACCGGCTCCCTGATGGGATGTTGGCTTCGCAGGTAGCAGCTTCACCTGCTATGGGACTATGATGGATCCTATTCCTGAACTTGTGTCTTATCCTACTTTCATCACACATTTCCTAAGTCAAGTCCTAGTCTTGAACAACAAAAAATTGACTGCATCTTCTTTGCTTTTGGTAAATCTTTTTGATTCTCCTTGCTCTATTTCAAATCTTTATTAGTGTGTGCTTCTCATAGTTGACTTGCTTTTTGATGCACTAAGTAGATGCAGGCTGACTTATGGAATTGTAGCCTGATAACAGTTGACGAAAATCACCTGAGACACAAAGTGATCAGGGTGAGTCCCCAGTTATGGTTTTGGGCATTATTACTCTGGATATCCTACTTTATATTATTCCTGCTTTATGTTCTATTTTAATGTTAAAAATACTAGTAGTAATTGTGCTTCATGATTAAATAGTTACAGGAAGCAGGCTACAGAGCTTAGAAAGGAATTATTGTCTACAAAAGCTTTCTATGTGAAGTTCCCCAGGTTCCTACCATAGAGAATTATCCTTGGAACTGAAGACTTTGTTGCTTATTGAATGTCTTTTTATCAACAGATATGCCATTCTTAGTCATTGTCATTCACTGATAATAATTGTTACTATTTTGGATATCCATTAGATGATATACATTCTAGTAGGAGCTTAATTTTATTTAATTGCTTCAACAATCATATTTTACCATTTTATCGTATTTATTTTAAAGAGAAGGATGTTAAAGTTCAGAAAAACTAAAAAAAAATTCCCATGATTAGAGTCAATACTCAGTCAATTTGACCGGAAGACCTATGGTTATCCCATAGGTTATCAGACTTATCAACTAACAGCACAAGATACACAGTGAATTTCAGGCCAACAATGAGTGATTGAATTAAAATGTCCCCAAGAAATATCCGGGACACGTTAGCATTAAAACCTTACTCATTGTTTTCTGAAATTTAAATTTAACTGGATATCCCATATTCTATCTGGCAATGCTACCTTAAGTGTTGTCTCATTGACTTTTCCAGGGTGAGTCCACATGCAGAGAAGATATCCAAAGTGGTAAGAGAGAGGAATGGAGCAGAATATGGAAGTGGAGGTGGTGAATGGAAAATTAAGAGGCTCATTGAAGGGAATGAAGATCAAGAATTCTGGAAGTGTAAATTCAAGTTATCACTGTATAGTCATTACCTTAAAGGATAGCTGAGGGAAAAAAATTCTCTTAGGTACTTTATAACCAAGAGGAGCTTTCCTCTGGTGGCAGTTGGGTGAAGACACCGCTACTTCAATGCTGTTATATAGGTAAATCATGCTGTGGGAGACGACTAGCACTTTGTTTCTGAGTCTAGGTATCCTTATATGGAAAGTGAGTGTAGCAACATTTGTACCATCTATTTCATGGAAGTCTTCTGAGGATTAAAGGGAGGTGAAAAGACTTTGCAAGTGGTAAAGTGGTAAAATATTCTAAAAGTACCAGGCTTTTCACAATAAAGCATCAGCAGAAATCCAACAAATTAATCATGTTTAAGGTTGGGGCAGTGGAAAAGGTTTCTTTTCTACCAATCTAATTAATGCTTGTAATAAACACTTTTGATTTCTTACTGGGACCATCTGAAAGAAAAGTAAGAGCTGGGAGTTTATATTCATTAGTTTGTACTGCTGGGAGAGACACTTTTGTGTTCTACAGGGATGTATGACCTGAAAAACAAAAAAAGATTAGTCTAATGTTTTTCAAAGTATCTGAGAGGTTATATGTCACAGTGTTTTCAAATATTTCTGAAAGAGAAGGATTTTAAAAAATCTATATTTTATTTATTTGAAAGGTAGAGTTAGTGAGTTAGTGAGAGAGAGAGAGAGAGAGAGAGAAAGAGAGAGAGAGAGAGAGAGAAATGAATGAGAATCTTCCTTTTGCTCGTTAACTTCCCAAATGGCCACAGCAACAGAGATGCACCAGGTTGAATCCAAGAGCTGGGAGCTTTTTCTAGGTCTCCCATGTGGGTGGCAGAGGATCAAACACTCAGGCCTTCTTCTGTTGTGTTCCTAGGCACATTAGCAGAGGGCTGGACTGGAACTGGAGCAGCCGGGACTCAAATTAGTGATGTCTCTGAGTCCCAGTTTCCTCTTCTGTAAAGTAATTTATCCAACATTGTGGTTATTTTATTGTATATTGTTTTAGAAGTTATTGAGAAAACAATTTCTTCAGGAATGAACTTTTAGTTTTACATAGCAGGGTTTTATCACCCAACTAGTTAAAAACATTTATTCCTTATATGGCTATTACACTTACCATTTTATACTCTGAAAAAATACTCTAAAGATTCTCTGAAATAAAGTGAAATTAACTTGAAGTCTTTTCTTGGATTTAACTTTAGATAGTAAACC